ATAGGAAGTTTAATTCCGAAAATTGTGTTTTAAAGTAACTTGAATGTAAATTGTTAAAAATGTTTTACAAAGTCTTGAATTAAATCATGAATATCAAAATTTTGAAAAAGAAATTAAATTAAAAGCAAGTAGTTTTCGCTATTGATCGGAAATTAGTTGACTTTTCAAGGGGAATAAACCAACTCCCGTTCAATGAACAATAATTAATAAATACGAAGGTGTTTCGTCTTTTACTCAAGTAATAATTGTGATGCCAAACTGGCAAATTTAGTTAGGCCAAATAGTTCTATGAAGTGATGGAATTTAGAACCAAAGTAGAGTACCAAAGAACTCATTCTGAATTAAGCACTTTCGCTAATAGAAATTTTGAGTGAAAAGCAATTTATGTAGTAAAATTGATAAAATACTTGAGTAAATGTCCCCCGACACCTTCGCTTTTATGCACATTAATTCAAAACTATTTGTATAAAAATTAAACATTGGTAATCTTAATTGAAATTATGAAATAGAACTCAAAGTAATTGAAATAAACATTAGAAAATTAAGAAACATAATGCTATTTTTGCAAATGGAAATCAAATAATAAAAATTGAAATTAATATATATAATAAGAAAAAAGGGAATGTACATGAAGATATAAAAGGCCAGAAAATGCATTAATTAACTTACGTTCTTTCTCCCAATAGAAAGAACGTAAGTTCAATTTTTCTGTGCGTACAGAAGGAAATTTTTATGTGTTTCCAGACCAGACACACTGTACCGCAAAGGGTTAACACGGACTTCTACAAAACTTCCCAAAGATCGGAAACGATATGAGCAACGCAGACCCCCTAATTGTTTAGTTTAGGAAGAATAGATGGTTCAGTTCAGATGCCTAATAAAAGTATGTGACATGAGCCATATAAGTCTCTCCTTTCTGAAAATGGTGTAGTAAATTACCACTACTACAGGGCGCACTGGTATAACACCCTTAAGAGGGAAAGATACTTATAGATACAGGTGGAAGCTAGGCCAGCCCCTCTGTAGCATCCTAAGTGATTGAGGTATTGCTGTACCTAACTACTTGTTAAGCTTCCTATTCAATTTGTAATCTCGAGAGAGAACACCACGGGGAAGCGGCCCTAGAATTTCCCATTCCTTTTTCCCTACCATCAACCTCTCGAGAAGATTTCAGTTTGAGTACCTATTGCTGCACAAACACTATATGCTTACTATTATCCATGCCTTCTCCGGGATTCGAACCGGGCCCTTTGGTAAGGCAATAGCTGTACTCTAATTATACAACGTATAAGTAATAACATAAGAGCACACTTGCATATTAAAAGATTCCTAGTACTGCCTTTGCAAGCTGTAGTAACATTATCTACAATGTAAACATAAAATCAATAACTATGTGTCAGTATGCGGCTATGTTAACAAAAGAACTACGTAACTTGAACTATCTACGCAGCTTTATTGTATATATAACTTATCTATCTATGTATTTTAAATTAACCTTGTTTGCCAAATTTTTTAATAAATGCCGTTTAGACCGCTGATCCTATCAGAGGCAAGGCTTGGCTGTTAGTTGATGGCATCCGTCAATGTAACATTACACTGTTAGTCTTTTCTTGAAAACGTTAAGATCAGTGGTCAGTTCTGGTAACATTTACGTCAGTAATCACTAACCCGTCTGGGGGCTGTACACACTTTACATACAGCCAAGCTCTACTCGGAAGTTGAAACACATATCTGGTTTTGGTCTCTAGTAACCATTGTGCTATCCAAAACAGCCAATAAAAACTTTCCTAGATAATAACGGATCGAATCGTTCATTTATCCGTCTCATTATCAAGAATGTTGCAAAAAGTGTTAAACCGATAGTGTACTTGCGAATAAAGGAGGAGAAACAAACACATGCAATATGGGCTTAATTGTGAGACGAAATCTATAGCCTTGGTCTGTTAACAGATATCAGCCTTCGCTAACCATTGTATTGTCAATGACTGAGCGCAGCGGCACTGAGAATAGTTTATAGTAAAATAGTACCTTTTTTCTAAATGGGAATAAATGACGGTTTGACTTCGAAGTAACCAAACGCAAAGCATGAGACAGTAAATACTATCATTAAATACTGCTGGGAAATTTAGAGATTTACTCAATATACGAAACGTCAAAAATTTTAATTAACAGGATTCCATATAGCAAGTATTTACTGTATTTTGTTAAATAATGATGCTAAACATTTAAAATAATTCACAGATATGTTATCATGAAAATATAAGCATTAAAAACTACTAATTTATCATACCCGTTTATTCAATAATTATCTCGAATAAATTCCATTTATTCTGGTCTTTCATAACACAAGGGCTTATAATTAAAGATACCATTAGTTATTAATTTCCAAGCATATTAATTCGGGATTCACTTTACGTCGTCGGTTCTCTTTCAAGATGTATACTCGTGTGAAAAATTCAGAGATTTTGTACATTATGTCGAATTTCAAAAAAACTAATTGACAGATTTTATTGAAATTGGGTATGAATACGTATTTCTAACAGAGAAGAGATGTACCATTCAAAAGTCATTTTATGTACTCATGGTTATCAGTAAAGCTCATAGTTCTGGAATGTCTATATTCCACGTTGTGATATCGAACGAAAAGTTAATCTAATATAGGATACGTCGCAAGTCAAACAGGTCACTCAGTGTGACGGCATACAGTTGAGGAGTCCCTATAGCAGTGGATCCCACTTTTGCAGCAATGCAGATTTCCCCCAAGGATGGTTCTCGGAGGGGTATAGCGAGATGAAATTGTCCTCCCAAGAGCGTCCCAAACACGCTGTATACAGTTAAGGTCAGGAGATCTGGCTGGCCAATTCGTGCGGGGAATATCCTTAATTTTTAGACAATTGTCGACCATTTGAGCCCTATGAGGACGAGCGCAGCTGTTCATTAACAAGTCCAACTGAGCCGCTAAAATGTCGAATATAGGACTCAAAGTTCTCTTATCTATACCCGATAACAGTCAGGAAGCCTTTCTCAAACACATGCAGCGGTATTCGGCCGTTCACCTTAATGCCTGCGCAAACCGTTACACCTCCACGATCGTAATGATCCTTTTTCCTGATGACGGAGGGATGGGCATCGTGTTCCAGGCTCTCTCCAGATGCAGGCATGCCAAGAATCAGTGTCCAGGCTGTAAAAATCAAGATGTTGCACTGAAGGTCTGGTCCAAAGCGCATGTTGTCTGCACCATGTTAAACCCGCTTCTTACTGAGCTGAATTCGACAGGTATCAAACAGCGTGTTACCTGCAATACCTTGTGAAGCCTCATGAAGCCTTCGGGTAACTTTAGACTGCGAAGCTCGGGTTTCCATTGGTTGCATACAACTCACGGAAGAGCTGTGATGCTATAGCAATCTTATGTCGTGACCTTGAAAGTGCCAAATGACGATCCGCATTCGTCGTTTTGGATCTTGTTCGATTTTGTCCATGTCGTCTTGATATGAATCCAGCGTCATGAAAATGTTTCCGAAAATTGCAGAGTACAGTGTGCGTTACATTAGGCTCTGTAGCCACCTGCTCTTGCGATTGTCCTGCCTCTAGTCTACCAACAATTCTCCACCTCATTCCGTTATTCATACGTTCGTGGCTACTTATTTTACATGATATCTTATAAAATTTACGCATCTTTTAGGAGAAACACAGATAATATCGTGATGGAATACGAGCACACAAATAGCCGAAAACCCCTAGTGCTCTTGTATCCCTTACACAATCATAGCTCCGAAGACACGCAAGTGTATTCTTATGTATTCGACGCTGAATATTTGCATAATTATTCGGCGGCATAATTAGTACCTTTGTTCTATACTCTTCATAAAAATAGGCATAATCTGCAAATTCTGTTAATTCTGCGGGCCAGTCAGTGTAGGTCAAAGCATGATTTTAAAGCTATAATGCAAAACGAAACAACCTATGAAGTCTAGCTTCTAACTAACTCTATATGATTAAGTGTATTAAATTTATCCTACATAATAATAAAACTCTTAACGTTGAAGAGAACAGCTTTTATATAAGCTGAAATATTTTCGGTAAAACATTCCACTAAAAAAAATGTTTTATTTCTACTCAGAAAATTAAAAAAAACTGTTATTTATTTACACATTATAATTCGTTTCTATTTAACATTTCTGAATCATTCCGAGTTGGATATTTTGAAATTTTGGTTTTAAAAATTAATTCCCGTTTATGTCAGTAATAGGCACTAATTTTAATAATTTAATTGATTCATTGCAATTTAATATCGGTATTGATCGCTATAAATATATGATTTTTCTTCTGTAAATAGTACGAGAAGTATTGTAAAAATAATAACTTTAAAATCAATTCAGAATTAAAATTAATTTAACAATGACAGAAAACTAGAAATTTTTAAGAAGAGAGTACGGTTATATAAAATCGTAGATCTTAGGAATTTCCACTTTGAATTCTCTGACTACGAGAAAAAATTAAATAAAAACGGAGAATTTCATTCAAACGAAATCATTAATAAAACCATGAATTGGAAATTGAAATCATAAATTGTTGGAGAAAAAGCGGTCATCGCATTAATATACAAAAACATAGTAATAGGGAACGCACTATTAATGAATCCCGTTGTCAGAGGATTAAATAGTTTGTTGGTAATATTAAAGAACATGGTCTTACTTAAGAAGTAAATATAATGTAATTATACTTTCAAAAATAAGAGTAGAGACGCATAATATTATTAACTCAAAATCTGCAACGTTAAGCCTTATAAATCTTTTTCTACTTTTTATCATTCTGTAACTTGAATTTGTGGAATGATTGATACTTTTTTCAGTCGTCAGCCGTCATAACTGGTTGCTTCAAGGGCCACTGCTTTGGGTTTTCCCCTCGTGCATACATAGCACTAAAACGAGTATACGACCTAGGGCTATGTCACAGCTTGCGATCACGTGCCCCTTCTCACTCGGATAAAAATCTCTTGATAGGATGCGCAGAGGCATTTAACTTCCTCCTCAGCGAAGACGTCTCCTCTGATTTCTTTCTCTGCAGCACGACGAGAGACTTACGAGCTGCTCATCCCGTGACCATCTCTCCATTTGAATTTCGAATATTATATTTGTGATACTTCTGGCTATTCGGTTTTGTAGTCTAATATTGGGTGAAAATAGCTTTACGATGATTTCAAATTTTTTAATAGCCTTTTTTGCAGTCTGCTGTATTTTTGGAATGAGTATCGCGGATGACTTAACGATACAAACATCGACCGGTATCTTACATGGTAAACAGTCTGAAGTTCTAAACAAATCACTGAGACTGTTTCTAGGTATCCCATACGCTCAACCCCCTATAGGTAATTTAAGATTTAAGAGACCAATTGAACTTCTCTCTGAAGATGTTGAACGTGATACTACTGAATTTTGTCCTAGCTGCTACCAGTCACCCCACTTGGTATCTCTCATCAGTCCTTTACTAAAACCTAACGAAGCAGAAATAAGTGAAGACTGCCTTTATCTTAATGTATATATTCCAGGTGAAAGAAAACCGGATAGGCCGTTGTCTGTTATGGTTTGGTTGGCAGGAGAAGGTTTCAGTTTTGCTGATCCGCGGCAGTTTGATGGCCGTTATTTAGCAGTAGAAGGAAACGTAATTGTTGTAACTCTGGGCTATAGGTTAGGTGTTTTTGGTTTCCTAAATGCGGCTACAGCTGATGCGCCAGGTAATGCTGGACTTTTCGATCAACGGATGGCTTTGAAATGGGTAAAGAAAAATATCGCTAAATTTGGTGGTAACCCACAAAATGTCACATTATTTGGTCGTTTTACAGGCTCAATGAGCGCTGCAATTCATGCATTTTCCCCTCTTAGCAAACAAGAGAAATTATTTGATAGAGTTATTTTGCAGAGTGGAGTTCCCGTTGGAGATTGGGTTTTCGAACGAAACCCCTTGAATACAACGTTTTCGTTGGCAGAAGCTGCAGAATGTGTTTTCGAAAACATTTCAGACGTTGTATCATGTTTACGAAATCTGCCATCTGATGTTCTTCTCAGTTCCTCGATTTCAATTCCTGAAACTTGGAGACCCAGTTACGATTTCACTTTAGTTTTTGAAAACACCTTGAAATCTGTTATTAGAGGCGAATATGCGCCACTTGAGATTCTTGTTGGCATCACAAATGATGAAGGGAGTCTTTGCACTACTGTTCTCAGTGCAATTGGATCACCTTTATACAAGAGACTTGTAGATGGAACCCTCACGTCACAAGAATTTAAAGACCTTTTAATAAAAAATATGATAGATGTATTTAAGCACAATGATACTTTAATAAACAAACTGGCCATCTACAATTACAATACTCCAGAACTTTCAAAACTGCGGGAAGAATTTGTAAAATTCTGTGGAGATATGCATGTTAAAACTCACGCTTTGAAATTAGCCGATATAATCGGCTATAAGCAACAGAAAATTTTCGTGTACGAGTTTGTATACAGACCCTCTTTCTCTAACCATCCTGAATTTATTCGAGCCGCCCATGGAGATGACGTGCTGTTTACAATGGGCCTTCCCCTCCAGCTTACAAACCTTACTGAAGTTGAACGCCAACTCACGAATCGTATGGTGAAGATGATTGCAAACTTTGCTCGCAATGGGTGAGTCTTTCATTTTAATATTCAAATTAAATTTATGTTCGTGAATTAATAAACTTGGTCTTACTCTTTTGTATAAAAAGATCATATTTCAAATCCAGAGTTTAATCAAATTTAAGGGTTATTTTTTTTTTTTTTTAATTATAAAACTAGCAGCTTTTCCTGTTTAGTTATATGGTGGATAAATGAACTGAATTGAAAAATATGCAACAAAATTTCTTTATAAATAAATTTGCTTGTTAAAAATAGCAGAAAATATTTTTGATATATAGTGCCTAATTATACAAACTAAGGTTACGGTTTCTTTTCAAATAAAATAATTATTGCGTAACATTTTGAAGAGCACTATATGCCTTCAAAAATGACTGGAAAAAAAAATGGGTCAATGCTATATCTCCCGTTCTACTGGGCCGATTGACAAAATTCAAACTGCGTTTTTCATGTCTCGAAAGCGCGACTTAGGATATATATTAGATTTATATGTAGCACTATTATAACATAGGTATTTTGACACAAAATCGGACTTTTTCTGAAATAACATACCAATGTTTTTCCATATTTCGATTCTACGACTCACATTATGCCAGAATACCAAGTTATGTAAACATCGTACGAGTAGTTTTAAAAATATTAGCTCTCAAAAATTTTAGCTCCTCAATGTTAATTGAATATGGCAAAAATATTTATTAATATCTCTTTTTTTATAAACTTTTTTTTTGATTTTCCTTTCACATTTCGAAATTTAGGTTCATTCCAAATAAAACTTACCCATTTTTGTTTTTTTTTTTTAAATTTCTATTTTTAAATAATTTTATAAATTTTTCAAAAACAAATTGAATTATAACTTATAAAATTTTTACGATCATCTTAAAGTAGATGTATTTCTAAGCATACCTGCAAAAAATTAGACTTTTTTATTCAAAATTCTCTAAGATACACACGAATTTACATATTTTCGCGTTTTGAAATTTGGCATCTTTTTTTTTTGAGCGATTATAGCGCCAAATGTGGTTTATGGATTTTTGTTACAGTGAATTGCCACAGCTATTTTTAATCTTAAATTTCAAATAAAATTTTACGGAGAATTAATTATATGAAATTTTTTCCCTCAATGATGCGTAATAAATATTTATTAATACTAAATGAAAAGCCTATTTTTTTAAATTATAGATGGTATTATTCAAATTTTTAACTATTTTTTTTAATTTCTATCTTTTTTCCTTTTTTAAAAAAAATATTTGTAAGAGTAAATTTTTATCTTCAGCGTTTTATCGTCTGCTACTTTACTTCGTTTAAATTGAATTGTCTCTAAACTGAGAACTTTCGTTTGATGTTTATTTGAATTTTATGAAAAATATTTTTATGGCATTAACTCATAATTTATTTCTAAACAAGCTATTGCTTATGAAGTGGCTGAAAGAGTGGCTGATACTATCATCCATAGTTTTAAAGCACAGTATAGTTTTATAGAAACATAAGATTTAGAATAATCATTTTATAAAAGTCAAATTATAATATAAAAATACAACTTTCTAGAGGCCGAATTAATGGAAGTTACATCGTTATGCAGAAATGATCTGCAGCTACTTAATGGTTGGATAAGTCAGCAGGTTCTGTGAACAAGTAAGAATAATTATATAAACAACACCTCAACATTCTGTTAACATTCAAGTTAACAACGAGGGTACGATGTTTATTAAATGAATTTAAGAAGTTTCTAAACATAAAAAATCAACTCATTTTTTATCCTAAAATGTATTTTTATGCGTATGCGTAGCGTATTTTCATTATACCCTTAAAATTCTAAATTAGAATGTAATTGTCAAGAACTGAATTCTAATTATCAGTAATATAATAAGTAATTATTACGGTTATTAATAAATCCTTCTTATAAAGTAATTGCAAATATTTCAAAAAACTTTCTGTCTGAATGCATTTTTCTATGCAAATATTTCTAATTTTATGTTAATCAAGATTGCACACGATATTATTTATTTGCACTTCAATTCTTACCGTCATCTCTAGTAGAAGTTACAAATCAATTATATTTAATTAAGACCATCTAAGTTTAGAAACAGCGTACCGTAACAGCAATTCAAAATCGCGCTTAAACTAGGTTATTTGGTTATTTGAACATAGAAAGAACATGGGAGCTATTTGGTTAAGATGCTTTCATAGAGAACCTTTGTAAAGAGAACCTAAAAAACTACGAAAACCAACCATGCAAAAAGCCTGGGTTGGACTTCGCAACAAACAATTAGTATTAATTCAGAAGTCAAACAACAAAAATCAGCATTATATTTTCAAATTTTCACAGAACTATTTTCGGTGATTCGGTTAAACCATCGAAACTAGTCCTGTGAAAATTTGAAAATATGACGCTGATTTTTGTTGTTTGACTTCTGAATTAATATTTGTTCGACGTGTTATTGTATCTTAAACAATTAGTATTTAACAATCTTCAAATGCTAGGCAACTGGTGAGGCTCCAACTAAATCTCCAAATTAATATTTTATTTGTAAATATTTAAAATATTGTTGTATTCTTAGACAAAAAAAGCAGAATTTAAGTTTTGTTAACTCGTTAGTAAACTACCAAGCCGTAGTGCAAATGAATATTCAATTTCTTTTCCAATAATTGTATTCACTTAATAGTCTTGGGATATGAGCTAAAGAAGGAATTTTCTCGGAAGATTAAAGAAGTGTTTAAATCCAGTGGTATTAGGTTTGTCTTAAAAGTTCAGGATCAAAACGATTCTGCAATTGCCCGAGTAGTTGACTTGTAAATGGCTGTGAATTAAGCGGATGACTTTTAATCTTACGTTATTCAGTCAGAAAACGTATTCCAAATGTTCTGTATTGCATGACAATGAATCTTTTCATTATTCAATAACCAATCGGGGAACCACTTGTGTTCAGAAAATAAGTATATGTACTCAATCGTCCTGCATGTTCTTCAAATTTCTCTTCTTGTGATTTTTTTCTTTCCCAAAGTATATGAGCCAGTTTCCCTTAGAATGTCCTCCACGAAGGCATCTCTTAAGAAGATAGCGCTAGTGTGCTGTACCATAAATCAACTAAAGTTGCCTTCAAAGGAAAGTTTTTTGACATTGAAGAGACAAAATGAGTATGACATCTATTTTTAAAGGCATGTCAAAAACAGATCTCTACAAGCCTTTTCTTCCATTACATGTTGTGCATTCAGACAAAAAGTTGCATCAGCGTAAATTCTATAATCTATTTTTATTACACTCTGATTACTTTATTAACATACAGTGAATATATACTAAATCTTTTACTTCAGCTTAAGTAATTTGGAATTGTTGTCGGAACTCGGACTTAGAAAAGATAAGTCAAATTAAATATTTTGATAACCCAATAAATTCAAGGTCGAAGTTTCAATATTTGATTTTCGGAGGGAGGGGAATTTTTTTCAGTTTTGGTACATTATCCTAAGTATATTTGCTTCGATTCTTTATTTTTTACATAAAAGCGAAAATCTTACGCATGGTATTACATATAACGCATAGCTTCAAATTAAAATTTAATTCTATACACGGTGGTAATAATTAAAGTTCCGCTTTGAAACGGTCATAAAGGAAAACTACTGGATCAAATGTTATCAAACTTGGTAACCGTGTCTTGGAGGTCACGGGAACTTATTTTCCGCGAAAAAAAGAATGTTCAAAACCTCACCACCAGGGGGAAATGGCGTTGTATGCAATATTGTTAAACGAAATATGGGTCGGAATCTAACTTAACCTTTTGTTAACTTAACCTTTTGTTTCTGTTAATATGCTGTTTAGCCTTAAGAAACTTTGAAGTAAGCAAATTACCATTTAAAGGCATTAAATTCCATAAAAGTCGAGTGCTCCATCCGTGTAAGTGAGACATTCGTCCGTGAAAACCGCGAATTAGCGATTAGAAAACGTGAGATCGTAAATCACTTGCACGAGTGCGTACAGTCTGGAAATCTTTCTTACAGACCGCTAATTTGTAATTTTTGAAGCATGAATTCGGTCCTAAAACATGAAGATACTGATTCAAAATGCTTTTAATCGATCTGGGCCAAAAAAATTCCCTCATGGTATATACCTAGTTCCATTGCATTCTCCTACTGCATTCGATTGCATAGCAGTCATTCCACACCGTTTGGTGTGGAATGACAGCTAGTTTCATAACTGAACCATTTTTCTCCGAAGAGCAGTTGACAGCTGGATTACTGTGATTGCAGTCACTTAAGAGTCAGTGTTAAAATGTTTCGTGATACATGAACTGCAGTAACGTTGCATTTTAGATACTACGATTTTTATGCAGGGCCTGGGCTCCACCTCACGTGTGTCGCACAGTTACTTAGGCAACATTTCACGAATGAACGTCTTATAGGCCGACACTTCCCCTCTTCCCACCAGACTTCATTCTCTGTGACTTTTGGCTATGGGGTTATCTTAAAAGCACTGTTTATGGTGATAATCTAAGCAATTTGGTAGAAATGAAAAATGTTATACACCGATATGTCCGTAACATTTCTCCTGATATGCTAAAAGCTGCTGTTGAGGATGCAGTAACAGGATTTAACTTGCTTTCGGAAAATGCTGGACGCTACATTGAACATGCTTCATAACACGTTTCGGAAACGATTAAACACATTTTAAACAGATGTTTTTATGTCTTATTTCATTTAACAATATTGCATACAGCGCCATTTTTTCCCTAAGGGTGAGTTTTTGAATTCTTTTTTTTTCCGCGGAAAATAAATTCCCATAACCTCCTTTACATGATCCCCAAGTTCGATAACCATTTGGTCCGGTAGTTTTCCTTTTAGGACCATTTCAAAGTGGAACTTTAATTATAACGACCATGTAAATTAAACTTTAAAAGTCTGACAGTTTGGTTCAAGTCCCAGCTTTAAAGAATAAATATAAATATTAAATTTTTATATTAATTCTCTTAGAAATAATGTTTTTAAGACGCTAATTTTTCTCTCGAGTCAAAGACTGTATA